TACCTTCCAGCAAGAGAGAGAAAACTGGCTGCCCCCTCAGTGAGAGGGTTGGTGGTTAGGTAGCAAGGTGGACTTCCCACACGGAAGGGGTATTAAGAAAAGAAAATGGAAACCCCATAAAGCCTGGGAGAGGAGGCTTAGCTGACTAGGACAGATGGAGAAGGTATCCCTAGAGGAGTAGGGAGATGGGGGAGATAACCTCCACAAGGGCCAGCCTGCTTGGTGGGCCAGCCTTGGTGCAGCCTCCTGTGTCTCCTCCCTTCCTATGGGCTCTGAGAATAGGGCTGGGGAGGTGCTAGGTGTGTACTCCCATCCCTTGGTACTCAGTGTTTAGATGGTGATAACAGGTGCTTAGGACTGCTCAGAGGAGAAAAAGGACACAACTCCAACACAAGCACACAGTCTGGATCATCCACCCCACTTGTCCCCGCCTCCACGTGAAACCTGGACTCTCTGCTGGGTCACCTTTTCTGCCCCACAGCCAGGGCTGTGTGTGTGTACACACTCAACAACTTAACAGGGTCCTTTGTTCCCCAGGCGTAAGACTAGAAGCCTTGCTCATTTGTGCGTGAGTGCATGTGTGTGTGTGTGTGTGTGTGTGTGTGTGTGTGTGAGAGAGAGAGAGAGAGAGAGAGAGAGAGAGAGAGAGAAAGTTTGTTCGCCTGCATTCCAGTGCTTAACAGGAATTATTTTTGGAATTATCTGCTTTTTGTTTGAAATAATCTTATTTCAGCAAGCCTAGACCTAGAACTGACTTCAAGTGCCTCATGATGGCTCAGAATCTCTTCCAGCGCCTGGCATATCCTGGGAGCTCACTGGGAAGTGGTTGGCTGAATGAATGAATGAATAAATGAATGAAAATAAATGAAGACCACAATCTGGCCTAGAGTCAACTGCAAGGGGAGAACAAGGGCCAGGAAAACAACGTAGACTGAACACTAAGGATGAGCAGGCACTGTGCTAGGGACTTGGCTTATCATCACCATCTTGGAGATGAGGAAATTGAGGCTCAGTGGTCAATGACTGACCAGTGTGGCAGCACAAGCAGCATGTTTGTCTCCAGAGGCCTGCTCCTTCCTCTTACACCATGGAGTTTTTTTGGTTTTTTTTTTAATGTTCTTGTTGTTTTTGAGACAGAGTCTCGCTTTGTTGCCCAGGCTAGAGTGAGTGCCGTGGCGTCAGCCTAGCTCACAGCAACCTCAAACTCCTGGGCTCAAGCAATCCTCCTGCCTCAGCCTCCTGAGTAGCTAGGACTACAGGCATGCGCCACCATGCCCGGCTAATTTTTTCTATATATATTAGTTGGCCAATTAATTTCTTTGTATTTATAGTAGAGACAGGGTCTCACTCTTGCTCAGGCTGGTCAGGCTGGTTTCAAACTCCTGACCTCGAGCAATCCGCCCGCCTCAGCCTCCCAGAGTGCTAGGATTACAGGCATGAGCCACCGTGCCTGGCCTCACCATGGAGCTTTGAAAATGCAGTTACACCCGACACACCTTTACCCTCTTCTCTGAGCAGGGCTGTGTGCTCAACATTGGGCAGCTAGGGTAGAGAACAATGATAAAGATGACAGACATAGTCCTGTCCTTCAAGGTCCTGAAGGGGAGAGATATGCCACCTATGCCTTTCTGGTCATAAGGCAGAGTGGGGAGTATTGTTTAAGTAAGGCCTTCTGCTCTTGTAGCCCTAATTCTAGATTGCGCAGACAGGAGCAGCAGGGAAAAGGAGAGCCATGGACAGAAACCTGAAACAAAGGAGGCCACCAGCCTCAGGGGGAGAGTGAAGGACCTGTGAAAACCCCATCCCAAGAACCCAGCTCCTCAAGGTGCCCATCCTGGGGCTCCTCTGCACCTGGGCACTCCTCTACACGATCTGCAGGCATACACTCCCATGTGTACCCATGCCACACACCTAAGTGTGTTCACACACAACCCCTGCCTTCCAGGTGTCAGGTTCATGTTTGTGCTTCCTCTGCTGTGGAGGGTGTTTGTCTAGAGTCCCAGGGGGACCCTGAGGGTGGACATTAACTTACCCAGAGGGCTGATTTGTGTTATAGGTCCAGCAGGGACTCTGCCTCACCCACCCCACCCCACCCCTCAGCCTGTCTTGCCCTCATCAGCAGCTGTCCCCTCCCCACTCACACACACTTGTTTCTGCCCTTTGTTTTCTTCCCTGGCCAAATCCCCAAGGCTTCTTTGGTCATTAACCTCCTGCTTTAATTAGCTTAGTGAGGAGGAAGGGGAGACAGGGCAAATTCAGGTTGGGTATCTGGGGGAATCTGATTTCCGGTGGAGACAGAAAGGCTCAAACCAGACAGTGGTCTCACAAAAATGCCCAACCCACAATAAATCCTATGCAACTGTTTGCTGTTTCCAGTAGTGTGAAAAAGTCATCTGGTCCACAAAGTAGGATCCTTACCCCAATGAGAGCCCCACGGTCCCCAGTACCACAGTTTCTCCAATCCAGGTTCCTGGGGCAGACAGAGGGGTCAAGAGTCAGAAATAGCCCACTCTCCAGGGCCCTGTCTCTCCAGTTCTTCCTCTTCCACTCTTGCTCGGTGGCAGCAGGAGCACCCAATCCCACAATAAGATTCCTTATTAATCTTATGTTAAATCCCCAATCCAGGAGGCACTCCTCCGTGACTCCGACTGGGGTCTTTCTGGGGTTCCTCCGTTAAAGCTCTCCTTCCCTGAATCTTCCGCCTAGCAAAGGGGAAAGAGCCCTGCAAAATGCCATCCTCCCCCACCCCCAAATCCTCAGCTCAGGTTCCTACCTTCCCATTTGCACACCCATTGGTGTGCAAATTCACTCTTTTTAAGAACCAATTTAGGGAACCAAGGCTAAATTGCTCAGCCCTCTAGGCCTCAATGTGCTAGGTCTGTGAGGTCACCTCATCCATTCCCCTTCCTCTAAGCAGGACTTTACCTCGCAAACTAGTTCAGATTTTCGGTTTCCAAGGCATTACAGAAAAGGACAATTTACCACTGTATTTCACCCATCCAGTCTTATAAAACTCTTTTGGGGCCAGACGTGGTGGCTCACGCCTGTAGTCCTAGCACTGTGAGAGGCCGAGGCAGGCGGATTGCTCGAGGTCAGGAGTTTGAAACCAGCCTGAGCAAGTGCTGGTTTCTACTAAAAATAGAAAGAAATTAGCTGGATAACTAATAAATAGAAAAAATTAGCTGGGCATAGTGGCACATGCCTGTAGTCCCAGCTACTCAGGAGGCTGAGGCAGTAGGATTGCTTGAGCCCAGGAGTTCGAGGTTGCTGTGAGCTAGGCTGATACCACGGCACTCACTCTAGCCTGGGCAACAAAGCGAGACTCTGTCTCAAAAAAAAAAAAAAACCAAAAAAAAAAAAACCGCTTTTGGGAAGTTCTTAAAATCTAACCTCAAGCCTTCAAGCTGCAGTGCCATCCCTTCTTTTGGGAAAGACCCAGGTGTAAAAAGGGTAACAAAAGAAATGCTGAAGATATGGGGAGAAGAAAAGATTGCATTACACTGCAACTTCCCCAAACTCCTTTTCTAAGTGCCTAACTACCCAAGCTTTAAAAACTTATTTTCATTCTCACCAAATAAATTTCCAGAGTCAAAGGAACTGAATTAATGGGTTTTCAATGAGTGGGACAGAGGTGAGTGAAACCGGGTGGAATGACGACGGGCGCTAGCGAACAGATTACTCGCTAGCTTTAATCACAGCCCAAGCCTGAAGGACGCCAGAGTTCCCAGTCCATCCCCATCTCTCCTCCCTCCTTCTGTCACACCCAAAGCTTAAGGCCCTCACCTCAAACGGTTAAGTCACATCAGGCCTTTAAGACTTTTCTTGCCTCCCCACTCTCCGTCCCCCACTTCTCTCCCCCCACTTCCTCAACCTCCTCACCTCACAACCCGCAGCCCGCCCCCCCCAACCCCACTGATCAAAAGGACGTGAACTAACTCACCTCCTGGTCCGTGCCTTTGAGATCTCCGAGACTGGGGGGCGGGAGGATGAGGGGAGATGGCTTGCAGCTTAGGGATGAGGAGACCTCATCCTTTGCTATGGGGTCCCACCCCCAGCCCGGCATCCCTTCCTGGCCCCCACAAAGGGCAGAGCTGGGTTCTCCCCCCATCGCGGCTGCGGGCTTTGTCTGCTCTGCGGAGATCCTCTCCCCGCAGCCCGGAGCCGGGATAGACTCTGGGAGAGAGAGCGCGCGACAGGGAGGGGGAAGGGCGGGGGGAGACAGAGAGAGAGAAAGCCGCAGTGACGGAGCAGGGGGCCGCTCCCCGCCCCCTGTCCCCCCCTCATTACCATAAGAAAGAGGGCCCCCAGGACCGGCCTTGCTGCGAAGAGAGCCGGTCTTGGGAGGGGGTCGCCCAGCTTTAGCCTTTTTCAAACCCGCTGGGTTTCTGCACATTGCCCAGTACCGGCCCCTTAAAAATTAGAGACCTCGACTTCCACCCCACCCCTAGCTTTGCCTTGGAGCTGTGGGTAAAGACCGAAGAGCACATCCCTATCCTCCTCGGGTCAGGGAATTCGTCCCCGCGCCCCCGAGGGCGGGAAACTACAACTCCCGGCATGCCCCGGGCGCCCCCGGCGCGCCCCCCTCCCGTCAGTTCCATGCTGCTCCATCCAGTTCATTTAAAACAAAAGAGTTTGAGCGCTGGAAGGGGTTGGGCTCTACTGGGGGCCACTGAGCGCCGCTCCAGGACTGGGGCTCGGTGCGGGAGCCTAACGGGGGCGTCTGGACGGCGGGGGCTAGAGACTCCCAGGTCCGAGGCGGGAGGGGTGGGGGCAGAGATCCCGCAGCCCCCCGCCCCCCGTCACCCCCGGAGAGGAAAGGAGATCTGCTTTCTTGGTTTTTCTTCTCTTTCCCCCCACCCCCACCCCGGGGGCTGGGGCGAGGGGAGTCGGGTTACAGGGTGTTTGGGGAGGGGGGCTTAGGGGGAGGGTCTATCTTTCTATCTCGCTTTCTTCCCCCCTCCCCAGTTCTTTGTTCCCCCCTCCCCACACACACCCCTCCTCTCCTCTCCCCTCCCCTCCTCTCTCCTCTTTTCCCTTCCACCACCTCTCTCTCTCTCCCTCTCTCTCTCCCCCAGCTTTTGTTTCGCCATGCCTAGTCTAGTGGTATCTGGAATAATGGAAAGAAATGGGGGCTTTGGAGAACTAGGATGTTTCGGGGGAAGCGCTAAGGACCGAGGGCTGCTGGAAGACGAGCGCGCCCTTCAGCTGGCTCTCGATCAACTCTGCCTCCTGGGTTTGGGGGAGCCCCCCGCCCCCACGGCGGGCGAGGACGGGGGAGGTGGGGGGGGCGGCGCCCCCGCGCAGCCGGCCGCCCCCCCGCAGCCGGCCCCGCCGCCGCCGCCCGCGGCGCCCCCGGCCGCCCAGACGGCGGCCCCCGCGGCGCAGACGCCCCAGCCCCCCACCGCCCCCAAAGGGGCTAGCGACGCCAAGCTCTGCGCTCTGTACAAAGAGGCCGAGCTGCGCCTGAAGGGCAGCAGCAACACCACGGAGTGTGTACCCGTGCCCACCTCCGAGCACGTGGCCGAGATCGTGGGCAGGCAAGGTAAGCGGGCGCCGGGACCACTGAGAGGGATTGGAGTGGGGGGACACCCTGTCCCCAGCGCGGAAAGTTCATTTCTTCCCTCTTTGCCCGCCTCCAGCTCTGTCCCTTCCCCACAAAGGGGGACCCGCCCCCTACCCTGATTTCCAAGTGCCACAAAGTTCCCTGCTACCCTTAGTTGGGACGGTTGTCCAGATCCTTCCTCTCCCAGGGCTCTGCCCTTAAACAAAGAAATATCCTTGCTCTGGAAGAGGGAAAGGGGAGGAGGATCGGTCTCCCAATCCAGGGAGGCTGTCCGGAGGGGGTGTCCACTCCTAGCTAAAAAAACTGACGGAATGTGCAAAGAGTTCCTCAGAAGCCCCTACTCTGGTATTTGCTCATGGGTTGGGGAGGGGGCACCCCTAGGACCCCCCAGCCGCCGGGAGTTACAGACTTTGGGGGAGACCTGGTCCGCGAAGCCAGACTGAGTATCTGTCTCTTTGTTGGGCTGAGTATAGGAATGGAAGGGGGTGTGGCCCAGGGAAGGGTCCCAGCCGGGGGGAGAGGTTGTGAGGGGGGCCACTGGGAGGAGGGGGTCCTGTGGTCACCCACACACCAAAGTTGGACTGTCTGTGAGGTTTTGGAAGGGGTGTCTCCAAGGAAGTGTTATGTCCTGGCATGGACCTCTTCTCCTCTCTCTCTGGCTTTTGTTCTGGGCTGGCCACGGCCTGGGGCCAGAGGCCTACAGAGGGGTCTCTGGTAGTGAAAGAGTAGAAGTGGGTAGGAGGGGGTATGCTGGGGGGTGAGAAACCTTCACCTGGAAATTTGGTGGAGGGCATGAGTCTGGGTGTGTTGGGGGAGGTGTAGAATTAATCCAGTGTAGTATGTCTGATACCACACCCTCCTCAGCTCCAGCATCCCTGGGTGGGTGGGTGGGTGGGTGGGAGTGTTGGTGAGGGTCCAAATTGAGCAGACGGGATCTTAGGGACCCTTCCCTCTCTCCGTTTCCCAAAGGGGAGTGGGAAGGGTGGGATTTGGAAATTACAAAGGGGCTGGGCTGGGGAGGTGTGGGGTGGGGGAGGAGTGGGGGAGGAGCTGTCCCACGGTGGGGAACAATAGAGGAGCTGCATTCCGGCTGGGAGTGAGGGAGGAGGCCAGCTCCTGGTGGAGGAAAAGGGGAGGTGGGCCAAGGGGGCCCCTATTCCACATTGCACCTCATCCACTGGGAGTGCTGGTGGTTAGGGGGATTTAGCAGGGAGATCCAGAATGGAGGAAGGGAAGATGCCACTCCCCTGCACAGCCCTCATCCCCGTGGGGCACTCCATCTCTTGAGATTTCTGATTTAGAAAGTTGGATTTCCTCTTGTTGTCAGTAACTGGGGATCCAAAGCTCTGGAACTGGGTGGTGACAGACATTGATATCTTTTCTTGTGTGGGGGGTGATTTGGGGAGGCCACAGGATTTAATGGAGTCATTCTTTCCTCTTCTGCCTCATCAGATCAGCCTGTCCCTCATAAAAGTAGGAGGATTTCTCCTGTTCAGAGAAGATAAGCCTCCCCCTCATTCCTTAAGTATATGAAAGTCCTCCCTCTTGTCTAACCTTCCTCCTGCTGCTGCAGTGTTAGTGCTCCTCTATTTGACCTCTAGGAAGGTGAAGCCCAGTGGGTCTCCCCTTCAAAGGATGCTTTTTCACAGCGTTGCAGAACCCAGGATGAGATCTACCACCACTGCTGCACCTCCAGGCCTCTAGCTTTTCTCCTTACCCTCATGCCCTGGCCTGTCCTCACCCTAACCCCCATAAATACTTAACTCTCACTTCAGTTTATGGACCCCTAACTTAGAGCCAGATCCCAAGTGTCCATCAGATGACATGTGAATAGAAGTGGTAGGACAGAGGACTTCACTTTTTCTCAACCCTCTATGCCTCTATGCCTCACAAATAGACCAATCATTTACCTTATGACATTAAAGCAGCAAGGATATAGGCCTGACAACAGGTAGGACTTCTTAACTGCCAGGGAGGAGCAGGGAGAAGGAGCAAATTCTCCTTCCTGAGATTCTTTAAAGGTGAGGGGAGTGGGCCCCCATCCACCCTATCCTCCCCAGCCCCCAATCTGCTAAGGTTGGAGAAGAAGCCATCTGGAGTGGAGGAAGGAGTAAAAAAATGAGCTCATCTTAGGCTGTGGTTGGAGGGTTGGGGCAGAGTCATAAAAGTAGGACCACTTGGTTTTGGAAAGGTAGTGTAGTGGGGGAGTGAGAAAAGGAATAGTGAGTTGTGCTTGGAGAAGGGTGTGAATGGGGGCAAAAGTTGTGGGTGTGTATAGGAATGTGCTGCTTGTGTGTTGGGGAGGATGTGCGTGGAAGAGTGGGATGTATGAAAGATTGAAACATAGGGACTTGCATGTGAAAGAGGAGTATGAAAGTGTGCATTAGGCCGGCCCTGCAAGTATGATTTAGATAAAGGCACACAGTGCATTGCCACTCTTGGTACAAGTGTGCAAACTCACACACATGTGGCATGTGTGCTCGGAGAAAGGCTTGGTGTGAAGCTAGGGGCAGGTGGAAAGGAGAGACGGGCTGTCCAGGCAGCCATCGAGGTGTGCAGCTTTTAGAGACGGTGTGGCCATCCCAGCTTCCCTCACTTTTCTCTCTCCCCTTCTCCCTCTTTGTCTCTCTTTGTCTCGCTTTTCTTCTTTCTCTGCCTACCTCTCTCTTCAACCTCCCAGCTTTAACCTACTTCAAAGCAGGGAGTATGAGCCCAGAATACCCTCATCCTACTGGGCCCCTAACCCATCTCAGCTTTCCTGCCCCAGGGGACAGGGGTATAGGAGTGACTTGGGGTTGGGTGCTGCTCCCTCACATGGGATTTTATTATCCTCATACTCCTCCTTTCCCTCTTGAAATTCTGGGTCTCAGACCCTTCCCAGTCTCATGCACTCCACTACTTGCTGGAAACGCATTATGAATTTGGGACTCACGGAGAGAGACTACTGGGTGGAAGGTATGGGGGGAGGTCATAGAGCTAGTGCATGTTGGCAGTCTCTGAGTAGTCAGGGGACACTTTTAATGACTGAGTATCAAATGAGGAGATTGTGAGGTTACTGAGCACATTGGAGTTCTGTGGAAAGATTGGGGTTGGTGAGAGATGGGGGGCAATGATTAAATGATTTGGAAGTTTGTGAGTAGCCAGGGACCAGTAGAGAAATTGAGGGAACAGCAAACATTTGAGGAGGAGTTTGTGAAAAGATTTGAGGTTAGCAATTTATATGGAAGGGTCAGTGCTTATTTGGGGGTTTCAAGGAGTGAATGAATTTGGAAGGTCCTGAATGGAACTCGGGGGAAATTTAGTACATTTTAAAATTGACGTTGAGATTGCTGATCTGAGATCCGATGAGTGGACTGTGCGTCTAGTAGTGGAGGTTTCAAAGGGTAGACGAGGGTTCCTGGGAGGCCAGGAATCTGGGAAAAGATCAGGAGCTTATTGGTCCCAGCACAACCCTTCTTGCCCTGTGAGTTTCTTTCTCTTTACCCCTCCCCACCCTATCCCAGGCTGCAAGATTAAGGCTCTGAGGGCCAAGACCAACACCTACATCAAGACACCAGTGCGGGGCGAGGAGCCAGTGTTCATGGTGACAGGGCGGCGGGAGGACGTGGCCACAGCCCGGCGGGAAATCATCTCAGCAGCGGAGCATTTCTCCATGATCCGTGCCTCCCGCAACAAGTCAGGCGCCGCCTTTGGTGTGGCCCCTGCTCTGCCAGGCCAGGTGACCATCCGTGTGCGGGTTCCCTACCGCGTGGTGGGGCTGGTGGTGGGCCCTAAAGGGGCGACCATCAAGCGCATCCAACAGCAGACCAACACGTACATTATCACACCAAGCCGTGACCGCGACCCAGTGTTCGAGATCACGGGGGCCCCGGGCAACGTGGAGCGTGCGCGTGAGGAGATCGAGACGCACATCGCAGTGCGCACAGGCAAGATCCTCGAGTACAACAATGAAAATGACTTCTTGGCTGGGAGCCCCGATGCCGCACTTGATAGCCGCTACTCCGACGCCTGGCGGGTGCATCCGCCAGGCTGCAAGCCCCTCTCCACCTTCCGGCAGAACAGCCTGGGCTGCATCGGCGAGTGCGGAGTGGACTCAGGCTTTGAGGCCCCACGCCTGGGCGAGCAGGGCGGGGACTTTGGCTACGGCGGGTACCTGTTTCCGGGCTACGGTGTGGGCAAGCAGGACGTGTACTACGGCGTGGCAGAGACTAGCCCCCCGCTGTGGGCGGGCCAGGAGAACGCCACGCCCACCTCGGTGCTCTTCTCCTCTGCCTCCTCCTCCTCCTCCTCTTCCGCTAAGGCCCGCGCTGGGCCTCCCGGCGCGCACCGCTCTCCTGCTACTTCCGCAGGGCCAGAGTTGGCAGGACTCCCGAGGCGTCCGCCGGGAGAGCCGCTCCAGGGCTTCTCTAAACTTGGGGGTGGCGGCCTGCGGAGCCCCGGCGGCGGGCGGGATTGCATGGTGTGCTTTGAGAGCGAAGTGACTGCCGCCCTCGTGCCCTGCGGACACAACCTGTTCTGCATGGAGTGTGCAGTACGCATCTGCGAGAGGACGGACCCGGAGTGCCCCGTCTGCCACATCACAGCCACGCAAGCCATCCGAATATTCTCCTAAGCCCCCTGCCCCGTGCCTCCTGGGCCTACTCCCCAAGGGCCTGCCCTGGACCTGTTTTCCACAAGGGCCTTTTGGAAATCAGTCATTTAAGGGGCAAGGTGCTTAGAGATACTCGCTCTCTGGGGAGGGGAGAAAGGGAGGCTGTGGTGGCTGGAGGGTGGGCCACTTTCAGAGCCTCTGGTCACCTTTTCCTGGAAATATTGGGAGGGGGCCAGACTGAATATACTAGAGTTACAACTCTGATACCTCAACACACCCTTAAATCTGGAAGCAGCTAAGATAAACTTTTGTTTTGCCAGAGGTGGCTACTAAGGCATTCTGACCCCCTCTGCCCACCTCCCCAACTGTGTGTCACTCTACCCCTTCATCTGTGGAGGGGATGGGGAAAAGGGGGAGGGAGAATTAACACCGTATCTAGAGGTGCTCTTTCGAACTCCCAAGCCCTCTGGTCCTGACCTCCGACCTAACATGACCCTTTGGCTCCCCGATATTCTGTTGGGGAAACTGTTCTGAGTTTCTCACAGTATAGGGGAGTTGGAGCCCTATCAGAAGCCTGCACAGATCTGGGGAGTGGGGTTGAGGAGAATCATGTCAGTGGATAAAGGGCTCAGAATTCATCTGCCCCCACAAAGCTGGGCTGGAGGAATCTGCAGAGGGGTACTCCTCTCTGCCCCCTTCAGCATTTCTCTTCACTCCCTTGCCCCCACCTCTCCTCCCTTTGCTCTTTCCTTTCCCTCCACCTCTTTGCTTTGTTTTCCCTTGTCTTGATCCTCCTCTTTGACTTTCTTCCCTTCTCCCCCATCACTCCTGCCCCTTCCAGCCCAGCTTTGGGGACACCATCCCCTTGGGGACCAATAGAGGGAAGAACATTTTGATGATCTCTCCCATTCCTCTTCAGGCATGTGGAGGCCCTCTCCCCTGATCCTCCAAAGAAACATCTCAAATTTGTTATGGAATGTATCCCCATTCTCAGTGAAAATTTGAGGAGGGGGACTAATACTGGGGTACATAAAGGGTCACACCCCCACCTTCATCATCTATGGGCATTATATTTAGGGAGGAGTTCTTGGGCTGGATTTTCTGGTTGTAGAAGAAGGGGAGCCAGGGTAGTATGTCTGCTATTTCAAGGAGCAGGAAAGGGCCTGAGGCAGGAGAGACTGGTGGAGGGAAGGGCTGCTGCTCTGTGCCCTGCACGCCTCTCTGGACCTGACCCAAACCTTAATTTAATCCTTATTAGCTTGAATCCTTCTTAGTGTGCAAATCATGAAGTCTCTGTCCCACCCATTGTGGTTGAGGAGAGGCCAGGTCTTCAGAGAGGGGTCAGCCCTGGGCAAAGCAGGATTGGGGGACAGCAGGGTCTGTTTGAGAGTCATATGTTGTTACAGGCCTGTACCCTCTTTGCTGCTTCCCTACTGCTCACTTGGGGTTGCCACCAGCCTCCCACCCTCCTGGTTCCACCCTCCTGGTTCCGCTGGCGGGCCAGGAGAGGATGGGGGATGGGAGTCCTAGGGGGTCCCGGGAGATCCTTGTATATAATGGGGTGGGACTATTCTGAGTGATCGCTGAGCACTTAAAGCTCAGGAGTCCCATTCTTCCTGGATGGAGAAGTGGTGCAGGGAAGGAGGTGCAGAGGGGATTTCCTCCTGTCCTTTCTCCTGTTGTGAATTAACTCACCTCTCCTCAGCCTTCCCCTCCAGACCACCAGCCAGGGAGGGGAGAGGAAGACGGTCACAGCCAAGAAAACTGGCCTGTGACTGCTTCCCTCCTTCCCGCCAATGTGAGCCATCCTGAGATGTCTGTACAATAGAAACCAAACCAAATGGGCACCCTCGGTTGCCGAGGGCGGGTGGGGAGGGGGGTGGGAAGAAAGGATGTCTGTCTGTCGATCCCCCTCCCCCTCTCCACTCCTTACCCACAAAGGCAGAAGACTGTTACACTAGGGGGCTCAGCAAATTCAATCCCACCCCTACCAATTGAGCCAAACCTAGAAACAAACGCAAAACACACATAGACAAAATAGAGGAGAGAAAGAGAGAACATGAGAGGGAGTGAGACAGGCGACCAACACAGAGGAGAGAAAACAAAAATAGCAAAAAAAAAAAAAAAAGGCAGTTCTTTATAATTTAATATTCTATTTTAATAAAGGCGTTTATTACCGTATAAATGTAGCAAAGAACCTGGGCTAATATGAAAAAAAGACTTTTTATTAGGTAATTTATTATATGAAAAGGATATTTTATTTTATGATAAAGTGATCCTTAAAAAAATAAAAAAACTTTAGAAGGTTTAGAATATATGTAGGGAGAGAAGAAGAAAAAATACATTTGTATTCAGAGTTAAATCTTAAAAAAAAAAGTGTTTTTAATATATGTTCGGGTTTACGTTGCTTTTTTTCCCCCACTTTTTTTTGGGGAGGAATGTCATTTGCTTTTCTTGGGGAGAGGGGCTGGGGGAGCGTGGTCCCTTCTGGGGCCCTGCAAGTAGATTGGATTTCACTCCGTGGGCTCCCCCTCCCCTCTCTTCCTCCCCCTCAGGGGAGCCGGCAGAGCCAAACAAAGAAAGGGATTAACAAGAAAGGAAGAAGCTGTAGGACTAAGGACTGAGGATCCTGGGGTGTCCCCCCTTTTCCCTGCCCTGTCTTGGGGCAAGTGAGGAGGAAAACTCCAGAACTGAGGCTTAGCAGGCCTAGGGAACCCTCAGAGAGGTGTGAGATTTAAGAGAAATAAATTTTTTTTTAACCAAAAAGAGAGAGAGAGAGAAGAAAAAGAGAAACCGAGGGGTTTAAAAGAAGAGAATACTACAAAATAATAATTATTAATAATAATAATTCAAATTTATTTCATATAATCCTAGAGAGAGAAAGAAAGAATTACTAGTTACTTAGTAGATGATATTCAGATAGCTTAAAGTTTAGTAGCATTGAGGGCCCCTGGGTCCAGTAGAATGTATAAAAGTCGTAAGGAAAAGATAAATAGAGGAGGGAAGTGGTTGAGTCCACCCTGAGTCACCCTATCTTCAGATATCAGGGTTGGAGCAGGTTGCTAGTTAAGATTGGGAGCTTCCAGTCTGCTGGGGTTGATTCTGAGAATCCTTGGATTTTTAAATTGTAGGACAAAGAGATGAGGGGCTCAGTTCCCAGGGTCTTTGAAAGGATGCACACTGATCAACTCAATCAGATGGGGGGCTGGGCTGGGGTTAGTAGAGGAGACTGAGCACATTTGCCTGCACCCCAGTACCTGGGGACCTGGCCATCCCTCTGTCTCCTTTGGGCAGCCCTTACTCCAAAGTTGTATGTCCTCTCCTGGGTCTCTCAGGAAGGATGGAGACTGCTCAGCTCAGGCCTCCCAAGCCACCTTCTCCCAGGCCTAAATTAGGAGTCCTTCTTGAAGTATAACCTCAGTCCACTTAACTACGGATTGATTTAAGAGCCTGGTAAGTCATCCCATAAGCAGACACACACTTCTCACCTTCAGAGCTTCAAGAGCACTGAGGGGATCAGTCCCCTACCCGTTCCCATCCCACATTCCACTGAGCTTTTGACCTCCATGGCAGCAGTGGTGGTGATATCTCAATAATTGTTCTTTAAAGCTGTGATGTGCTTTACAGATTTGCAAAGTGCTTTACTGTCTCATAGAAGTTGGATTCCAAGAAGGACTTCCCACCCAGTGGGGTGGAGTGGAGACACTGTCCTTGAAGGCCTGGGAGAAGGGGGCCACAAGGGTATGGAGGCACAGGAAGGGCACAGGGACCTTGGGTGACCCCAACCAAGCCCTCACTGCTCTAGGCCACCTCCATCTTAAGTGTGCAGGTAGGGGTCATCCACCATCCCTGGCCTGGAGGCACATTGCCTTCCCCACAGAAAATTGGAGAACCTGGCTTCTGCATGCAAGAAATCAACATTTCTTAAGCACTTGCCTTCTCCCCACCCCAGTTTGCAATGAGATCTTCAGGGTCAGGTCACATCTGGCCTTCTCCCACATCCAAGGGGGTGGGGAGGCCTCTTGGCTCTCCTTTTGGCAAGAGGAACCTGCTCCATTACACCAATGACTCTGCCATGCCCCTCCCTGGCCCTAGACCCCAAACACATCTCCCTCTCCCCAGTTTACTCTTGCCCCACCTAGGGACAGATTTCCCCCTGCTCTTTTTGTCCTAGAAACCCCCGCTAGTTTGGGATGGTAGAGTCTGGGGTGGGGAGGGCTTCCCCTTCCCCACTCAAGGGTGAGGGTGGGTTGGGGGGGTGGGTGGAGACAGCCCTGGGGCAGGGGGATGGTCTCTCCACTGTAGAAAGTAGAGTAGGATTGTGGTCAGACTTAATTTGAGGCATCTAGTGAAGACACACCAAGGAAAAAGATTTCAAAAGCAAAATAAAGGCGGGAAATAAAATGGACCCATGAATAATCAAGTCAAAGTGATGTTGCACAAAATGCAGAGAAACCAAGAAGGGGGAGGGTTAATGTATTAAATGTGCTATTAAGAACTTAATTTTATTAAAAGTATTATTACTTAAGACTGTTTTTCTATGCATGTGAGTCTATACCATCTTGGGGTGTGGGGGAGGATCTGCCATGGGGATTGTAGCTTGGGGTTTTCCCTAGTGTAACTCTGCCCTTACCTTGCATGAAGTGGATGTCTCCAGAGTTCCCTGCCATCCCTGGGCTTCCCCTCTCAGTTCTCCACAGCTCCCTACTTGAGTCTCCAAGCTTTCAATCTCCCCTACACCTTTTTTATTTTATTTTATTTTGAGACAGAGTCTCGCTTTGTTGCCCAGGCTAGAGTGAGTGCCGAGGCGTCAGCCTAGCTCACAAACTCATGGGCTCAAGCAATCCTACTGTCTCAGCCTCCGGAGTAGCTGGGACTACACGCATGCACCACCATGCCCGGCTAATTTTTTTTTCTATGTATATTAGTTGGCCAATTAATTTCTTTCTATTTATAGTAGAGACGGGGTCTCGTTCTTGCTCAGGCTGGTTTCGAACTCCTGACCTCGAGCAATCTGCCCGCCTCGGCCTCCCAGAGTGCTAGCATTACAGGCATGAGCCACTGTACCTGGCCCTTTTTTTTTTTTGAGACAGGGTCTCACTCTGTAACCCTGGCCAGAGTATAGTGGCCTCATTATGTATAAGAGTATAGTGGCCTCATTATGTATAGCTCACTGCAACCTCAAATTCCTGGGCTCAAGCAATCCTCCTGTCTTAGCCTCCCTAGTAACTGGGAGTCTATTATTATAATAGACTGGTGCAGTCTATTATGCCCAGCTAATTTTTCTATTTTTTATAGAGATGGGGTCTCATTCTTGCTCAGGCTGGTCTTGAATGCCTGGCCTCAAGCAGTCCTCTCTCCTTGGCCTCTCAAAGTGCTAGGCTTACAGGAGTGAGCCAACATGCCCAGCCCCTGCTTTTTATCTCCATTTACTCCCTTCTCTTCTTCGGAGATATGGTCAGGCCTTCTTCTACCCTGCCCTGCGGAACAGGGGAAAGTGAGGCAGGGTGACAGAGACCCTGCTTGGACAGGCCTCTGCTAGGCTCCATGAGAACTGAGGCAGAGAACTGAGAGATAGACCCTGCCCACTCACCCCATCAGATTCAATCTATGCCTCCTCTTTGGGGTCAGGAAGATCACTGGATGGAGGACATGGACCTTCCACCTCCCAGGCTTAAATACCCCTGTCCCAGCACACACATACAGGGCTGGCCCTGACTCCCCCTTTTCCTTTGCATCTCCCCCTTCCTCCTCCCCTTGCCCCTGGCATTGGAGTGACCTCAGTTTTTGGCACCAGGGCCCTGGGCACCAGATGGTGCCCACCGATGATTTCCTTTGTCTTGCCTTCCAGATACCCCCTCCCCTCCGTGTTGTCCTCCCTCCCCCACCTGCCCTGGGCTTTGGCAGAGGGAAGGGCAGGCACCTCCCACCCCCTTGGCACCGTCCCCAGACCACAGGACTCCAGAGGCAGCTGGCCCTGAGGGACAGTGGGTATAGTGGGGAGAATCGAGGATGTGGGGGAAGGGCATCAGGAACTCAGAGGAGGGGCCAAAGTAGTAGGGGGAAGCACAGACAGGAGGCAGCAGGATGGCCAGGCATTAATACAAAACACAGCTTTATTTGAGGGTCCTCATCTGTGAAGGGTGGAAAGATAATAGAGATATGTGTGGTGGGGCATGAAGACCTTAAGGCTCTAGGGGCTGTGAACAGGGAACCAGACACTCTCACATCTGGAACCAAAGGGCAGGGTAGGGTCCTAGAGCTGGGGTGGGGACGAGGGGCACCAGAAAGCCAGTGGGGGCAGGGTTGGTGCTGGCCAAGGTCAGAGGCTGATGCAACAGGCCCTTTTCTCTCCAGAGCCAGGCTCCTGCCCAGCCTGGGCACTGCCCAACGTGATGGCATTGGTCCGGGTGCTGTTCTGTCTCTGCTTGGACACCTTCGCAAAGATCTCTGAGAGGGCAGAGGTCAGTGATCAGGCCAGAAGATTTAGAGCCAACGTCTCTCCCCTACTACACACACAAAATGCCCCTTCTGAGCACTGGGGGTAGCCACGCTTGTAGGAAGTTTTGCAGGAAGGAAGTGGAATGTGGGTACCTGGGTCCCTTCTACTTACCTATGTGGAGAAGGAACTAAGACTGAGCTGCTGAGAAGTGTGGCCTTCTGCTTCCTTCCCTAAGCTTGAGGCTAAGTGGGGGGAGGAACTGAGGGGGTCAAGGGAGATAGGCAGTGGTGCCGGGACCCCACAGAGGAGCTGGGGAATCCGCTGGGGTGAGGGCTGGGTGCCTGCATTTCTACTGCTGCCCACAGAAGCCACAGGGATGGAATGGGGGTGCCAAATGGAGGCTCTAACCTTTGAGGACAGTCTCAAAGGCCAGCTCAACATTGGTGGAGTCCAGGGCTGAGGTTTCCAGGAAGAGCAGACCATTGTTTTCTGCCAGGAAAGGAAACACACCGTTAATTGTGTATGTGTGTGTGTGTAGGGGGGTGGGGGGGTCAGAGGCAGTAATAATAATATGAACTTAATGTTTACTATGTACATTTGCTATGTGCTAAACTCCTGGCATGTAGTAGCTCATTCAATCTTTAAAACAACTTATGAGGTAGGTTTGGTTAGGAAATTGAAATCCAGAAACACAAAAAGAACAAATAAGGAACTTCTCCGTGTTCTATATCTAGTAACTGGGCAAGAGGAGATGGGAGGCTAGGCCATGGAACTCCAGAGCCCGCTACCATATCGTGATGCCTCTAAACCCAGGAAACTCCTGGGGTGTGACTGCAGATGGTTAAGGGAAGCTCACCCTCTACACAGGATCTTTGAGCACTGTGGGGTGGGGCTGTCTTAAAATCAATTATGAATAATTATTGATGAAGGCAGTCTCAGGGCAAGTGGTAGGACATCACGGGAGACACAGGGTCCCAGAGGAGAATGGCTAGGAAATCTTGAAGAAGAGTGGATGGAGGTAGAGGACTGCATGGAGGAAGTTCAGGCTGGGGGCTCTGGGGGTGGGCACAGGCACTGGGGAAGCTGGAGTTGGGGGCTGTGGACAAGCTTGGAGGAATCAGATTGAGTGATGACAGGCTCTCACCAGCGAACATGCGGGCCTCCTCAGTGGGCACCTCCCGGGCCTGGCTGAGGTCACTCTTGTTACCCACAAGCATGACGACAATAGTGGCTTCGGCATGATCATAGAGCTCCTTCAGCCAGCGCTCCACCACTGCATAGGTCTGGTGCTTGGTTAGGTCAAATACCAGGAGGGCCCCCACTCCACCACGATAGTACCTGGGTGGGGGTGGGAGGGATGGACAGAGACGAGATCACGGCCATTGGGCCCAGCATCAGAAAAAAGCCATTAAGCCAAAATGCCCACTGTCAGAGTACTAGATCTGGAAATACAGACACTGAGGTCCAGGGACCCAAAGCCCAACAGGGCAGCCCAAGGTTCTGTGCCTTCCAGGGACACTGGTCTTGGAGCCTCCAAAGCTTCCCCTCCCTGCTCTAAAACCTCCACTGGCTTCCTCATAGCCCCTCTGCTTCCTCAGGTCTTTTGTCCTGATTTTAGCCTCTGCTATACACCAACACATATCTGGGCTCTGGGAAAGTCTGCCTTCTGGATGCCCCACCTCTGAGATCTTCCTCACACGGCTCTTCAATCTGCAATACCCCCTTCTCTCCTGCGGCCATTTACCTAGGACTAGCTCAATGTCTACCCTTGCAGCAGTCCCTGGCCTGACCATTTAAGGCATCCCTGCAAGCATCCAGCCTCCCTCTCGGAGTTGAAATGGGGCATCTTCAGACCGATGATGTCTTATTATTCCCAATTTATTGATGAGTCAACTGAGACTCATAAGAGGTCAAGTGACTAGGAGTGGTGAGTGTGTATAACTGAAGCCGCAGACTCCTGCTTCCTCCCCCCCACAAACATACAGACCACCTTTCACACACTTAGGCCTCACACTGACTAGGAGACACTTTCGCTATGGTGTCAGGTGGCCTAACGTCCTGTGTGTCCTCTGAGTATTCACAAGATCCCAATGCCAGGTCCAGCCCCTGGCGTTTGTGGTTAGGTGAAAGTTGCCAAGTGCAGAGCACTGTGCAGAAGTGAGGGGGCGCTCTTGGTCCACACAGCCTGTCTCCATCCCAGCTCCACCCGGATTTCACCTTGCTTGTATTTAAACAGGGATAATTATAGCGCCTTACTCCTATGGTACTTTAAAGTTTATATAAAATGCTAAAATATAAAGTGCCTTGCAACTTCCCGAGCACATAGCAAAGCCTTGGTAAGTGGTGGCAATGATTCTTGGGTTTAGTCCTACTTGTCAGGGTTATTACGTCCTGCCTCTCCCTATTTGCTGCTCACAGCACTGCTGTCTCCTATGATCGCTCCCCACCTCCCACCCCAGGGAGCACACTGCTGAGTGCCGTTGCCTCCTCCTCCACTTCTCCTCCCGAGGTGTTCCCTGACTTCCCCAGGACTCCCACAACCCAGCAGACCCCCAGGCCCGGGCTCACGCCGAGGTGATGGCTCGGTACCGCTCCAGGCCAGCTGTGTCCCAGATCTGAGCCTTGACTGCAGCGGTGCCCAGCATCACAGTGCGGGTGGAGAACTCAACCCCGATGGTGGTGCGGCTGTCATGGTTGAACTCATTGCGCGTGAATCGGGATAGCAGGTTGGTCTTCCCCACGCCTGATTCGCCAATCAGCACCACTGAAGGAGTGGAGAGATAAGGGCTGAGTGCCCGGCAGAGCAGCCCCAAAGCCCACTTGAACTTGTAGGGTCTGTCCATCAGAAAATGGGGACTGGGCTCAGAAAACTGAGGAAGGGGTGGGGTGTGGTGGCTCAGTCCTGTAATCCTAGCACTCTGGGAGGCTGAGGCGGGCGGATTGCTCAAGGTCAGGAGTTCGAAACCAGCCTGAGCAACCGCCGAGCGAGGACCCCGTCTCTACTATAAATAGAAGAAATCAATTGGCCAACTAATATATATAGAAAAAATTAGGTGGGCATGGTGGTGCATGCCTGTAGTCCCAGCTACTCGGGAGGCTGAGGCAGAAGGATTGCTTGAGCCCAGGAGTTTGAGGTTGCTGTGAGCTAGGCTGACGCCTCAGCACTCACTCTAGCCTGGGCAACAAAGTGAGATTCTGTCTCAAAGAAAAAAAAAAAAAAAGAGCAGCCTGAGCAAGAGCGAGACCCTGTCTCTACAAAAAAAAAAAATAGAAAAAATTTGACTAAAGCATTATAAAAGCTGTCCATGTAACAAAATCATTTGTACCCTCTTAATATTTTGAAATTAAAATAATAATAATAAATAAATAGCCTGGCCTGGTGGCACTGGCCTGTCCCAGCTATTTGGGAGTGAGGAGGATTGCTTGAGCCCAGGAGTTTGAATATATAGTGAGCTATTATGCCACCACTGTACACTAACACAGGAGATGGAGCAAGACCTTGTCTCGAAAGAGAGAAAGAAGAAAGAAAGACAGAAAGAAAGAAAAAAGAAAAGAAAAAAGAAAACCGAGGAGGTGGCCGGGCGCGGTGGCTCACGCCTGTAATCCTAGCACTCTGGGAGGCTGAGGCGGGCGGATTGCTCGAGGTCAGGAGTTCGAAACCACCCTGAGCAAGAGCGAGACCCCGTCTCTACTATAAATAGAAAGAAATTAATTGGCCAACTAATATATATATAGAAAATATTAGCTGGGCATGGTGGTGCATGCCTGTAGTCCCAGCTACTTGGGAGGCTGAGGCAGGAGGATTGCTTGAGCTCAGGAGTGTAAGGTTGCTGTGAGCTAGGCTGACGCCATGGCACTCACTCTAGCCTGGGCAACAAAGGGAGACTCTGTCTCAAAAAAAAAAAAAAAAAAAACTGAGGAGGGAGCTTGGTCTCCTGGCAGAGACTGGAGTCTGCCACTCTGCACAATGCATCTGTCCTGGTGGTCAGAAGGACCAAAAGTATAAAATAAATAAAGGGCTTTAAGGTTATGACCTAGTCTGTTGAGACATGGCTGCAGAATCTCAGGGTGGAGTGACATCTGTGGGCTCATTATGGGTGTCCTTTGGAGAGGTTACTGAACATGGGTAGACGGTAGGAGATCTAGGGATGTGTGTGCACATTTCTGGACTAGGGAGTATGAGACCATTGTTCATGTCTCTATGTATATGAGCTGGGAAGATAAGTGGAAGGTTGGGTGTGTTCAGTGTTTGCATAGAGAAAAGAGGTTAGAAGTGTGGGCAAGGAGAAAGTTTGGCAGGTGACACATCTGTGAATGAAAGGAAGGTATGAGGCCAGTGCGGTGGCTCACGCCTGTAATCCTAGCACTCTGGGAGGCCGAGGCAGGCGGATTGCTCGAGGTCAGGAGTTTGAAACCAGCCTGAGCAAGAGCGAGACCCCATCTCTACTAAACATAGAAAGAAATTAATTGGCCAACTAATATATATACAAAATATTAGCCCCGCATGGTGGCGCATGCCTGTAGTCCCAGCTACTTGGGAGGCTGAGGCAGAAGGATCTCTTGAGCCCAGGAGTTTGAGGTTGCTGATGCCACGGCACTCACTCTAGCCTGGGCAACAAAGTGAGACTCTGTCTAAAAAAAAAAAAAAAAAAAAAGGAAGGAAAGTATGTGTGTTCGTGTGTGTGTAAGAAGGTAAGTTCCAGTTGTCCCTACAGAGGAGCAGTCTTGCATGGTTAAAAGCCTAAGGCTGGGTGTTGGACCAGTTTTGTGTCCTTTGGCGAGTTATCTAACCTCTCTGAGCCTTCCTTTTCATAGGAAAATTGGGAAAACATTAGTATCTACCTTATGGGTTATTGTAAGAAATAGAAGATGAAGGCTCTGACTTCACCACAATGCAATATATCCATGTAAAAAAAATTGTAATTGTACCCCATGATTATATACAAATAAAAAAATAAATTTTAAAGAAAGGAAATTGAGGACTTTGGGGAAAAAAGGAAGAAATGAGATACTGCCCAGGATATAGTAAGTATACAAAACTATTATTGGTATGATTGTTGTTGGCAGCCCAGTGCATTTGTTTTTGAGTTTTTAGGGACAAGGATCCACCAGTAGGGCCATGGAGACCCTGTAGGCCAGTAGGCGGATGAGCTGGGGGCTGAGGCAGAGTGTGGGGAGCTGATGTAAGTACAACCCAGGACTAGAGGAGGCTACCCAGGGTGGTTCTGGAAAGGTAGGCTGGCACCCAAGGACTGAGGGCCACATATTTTGGACTGTGGTCCCTGCTCAGCCTCTGACTTCATACAGAGGACTGTATGAAGCCTCTGTATAAAGTTGAACAAGTGGCTCACCTTTTCTGGGTCTAACTTTCCTTGTTTGTACAATCTATAAAGGCTTCTTCGTGCTTCAAAAATTCCTTATTTGTGTAGGGCAGTATGGAAGAGCTGGAAGCAGTGGATATATGTGGGTAAGTGGATGTACATATGTATGTGGGGTGGGGATAGTGTTCCTGCTTCTCTCCTGTGGGGAACACCCCTCTGTCATCCCTCCCAGTGGGTGGGCTTTTAGCCCTATCCTCAGACGCAAAGGTACTCAGGGAGAGAGCCTTGGTTGGCTCAGACAGACTAGGTTTGAGTACTACTGAGTTGGTCACTTTTTCTAAGCTATTTACCTCTAAGCCTGTTTCCTCATCTGTAAAATGGAGATACCAATGGTTAATGTTTACAGTGTATTGAGTGCGTGCTATGTGTCATGCATTGTCCTAAAGGCTTTGCATATATTAACTCATTTAATCCTCATAACAATGCCATGAGGTAAGTATTATTATTTTTTTATTTTTTTGAGACAGAGTCTCACTTTGTTGCCCAGACTAGAGTGAGTGCCATGGCGTCAGCCTAGTTCACAGCAACCTCACCCTCCTGGGCTCAAGCGATCCTCCTGCCTCAGCCTCCTGAGTAGCTGGAACTACAGGTATGCACCACCATGCCCAGCTAATTATATATATATATATATATATTTTTTTTTTTTAGTTAGTTAGGCAATTAATTTCTTTCTATTTATAGTAGAGACAGGGTCTCGCTCTTGCTCAGGCTGGTCTCAAACTCCTGACTTTAGCAATCCACCCACCTCAGCCTCCCAGAGTGCTAGGATTACAGGTGTGAGCCACTGCGCCCGGCCTACACTGCTTCTTAAAATCAAAGATAATTTTGGGGGGTTGTGATGGTGATTACTGAGATAGTGACTTGGACACAGTTAGGGCTCAATAAACATAGGTAGTTACTAGTGTTATTCCCCAGACTATTGCTAACCCTCACTTTCTTGGGAAAGATGCTGGGAGTACAGGTTCCTCAACTCAAGGGCGGGTGCTAGAGTGAGAGTCCCAGTGAGGGCAGGGCTGAGGCTGGGAGAGGCTGTGGGGTGGGGTGGCTGGGAGGGGAATCATACCTCTACCTGTCCACCCTGCCCTGAAGGAGGTGCGGAGGTGGGGTTGGGGAACACTACAGGAGCCAAACTTAGGGGCTGAGATAAAGAAGCAGGAAAGATACATGGTTGTCCTTCCAGGGACAGCCAAGTCGAACCCAGTGCCCAGGTGCCAGGTCCAAGGAGTCTGCCAAGGGACTGGCAGACAAGGATATAACTCTAGGAATTGCTGTAGTCTATCAGACCCAGCTCTAAATTCTCTACTCTTCCCTATGTATTCATTACCCAGTCCTATAATGGGATAGGTCTCTCCTTTCTCTATGTTCTTGTACACCTGCTCAGAAAGATGACTTTCTCCCACTTCTCAAGAGGGAAGTCCTTTCTGAAGTCTGACCTCAATCTCTTGTGCTGCAGTGGCTGACTATTCCCAGGAATTTGGGCTTCTATTAGAAACAGGGAAGGGAAGCCTAACTCTCAACACTATTAAGGAGTAATCAACATCTTTATTTACAATAGTAGAGCACACTCTGTAGCTCCCAGACTTCTCCCCTGTAACCAGGCCCTGCCCCACTCCCTGCAGCTTTCTTTCTTAACCTGAAGGAATGATAAGCATTGAGGAGTCTTGTTAGAAGATAAAAAACAGGAGGGGGCCCTCTCTAGCCCTGCCAATCTCTTTCTGGGACTCTCTCAGGCTTCCTCTAACTTCAGGGACCCCAACTCACCCTTGAAGACAAAGTTATAATCTTCCTCGGTTCCATTCCCCATTTTGGCTCCGCATGGAAGGTGCAAGTGTCTTCAGGGGCAGAGGTGACAAGTCTGTGTGCTGTCTCAAAGCCCTCAACCCTCAGCTCTCAAGAGACCTGGACCTGCACCGCCTCTCATTGGGGGTAAGGAGACTTCTGCAGCCAGAGGGATTGAGGGCCAACGCAAGGCTAGGCAGGGCCTAACGAGGCTCAGCTCTGGCAAGTGGGGGTGCTGTAAGGAAGCTGAGAGGACGGAAGCTGAGAACAGGAAGAGCAGCCGGCTGGTTACCTGGGCCCCAGGTGGGTGGAGAGATGATGACGTCAGACAGGTTAGACAGGTTGAGTGTTTGCTCTCAGCCTGGGCTCCCACAAGCGGGAGAGCCAGCTCCATGGGGGAGTGGGTTGGAGGGAAGCTAGGATGACAGGGACGAGACCTTTGGAGAGAGCCTGCTGTAGGCCGACTGTGCATTTGCTGGGCTCCCGGGATCTGTGGAGGAGAAGCCCCACCACTACCGAGTTTCCCCGAAAATAAGACAGGGTCTTATATTTATTTTTCCTCAAGAAGACACCCTAGGGCTTATTTTCAGGGGTTGTGTTATTTTCCCCTCAAAGCCTCAGCTTGCAGCACGCACAGGATGGCCAGGACCAGACAGGGGGAGCCGACCTTGTTGGTGAGGCCGCCTGCACCTTTCCAGTCACCTCTGGGATAGTAGCTGTCCCGATGCGGCAGATGAGAAGGGCTACTCGTCTTCTTCACTGCTGCTCTGCGACGAAATGCATGGGTTGTGCAGATACACTGTGTAGCCACGCCCATCACTAGGTCTTATTTTTGGGGTAGGGCTTATATTGCACAAATGCTTAGAAATCCTGCTAGGGCTTATTTTATGGGTAGGTCTTATTTTCAGGGAAACACGGTAGTGAGAAATAGCCCCTCAGAAAGCCACTTGGCCTCCTGCTTTTTCTGCAGAGCCTCTGGTGCAGGGTACAATGAGGGCACCACTCACTCTGCTGCAATGCAGAGCTGTGGGAGCTACATCTTGGCCACAGCAACTTCCGCCCCTCCCTGACAGCCCAGGGCCTGGGATGGGCAGTGTTTCTCATCCTGGGTGGAGCTGGGATTCACAACCTACCCACTTCCCTGGGATGAGTCCTTTTTTATGGCACGGGGGAAAGGGGCTGGTAGCTTCCTATACAGACCTGCTCCAAGGACACTGGGTAGGGGGAGACTTGGGGCAGAAACAGTCAGATGGGGCGAGTGGTCTGAGTGTAGGGGCAGGATCTGGAGATGAAGGCATCTGAGAGGTCTGGGATTCTTCTACTCCCTGCCCAGGACCTACTGCCTCACAGCAAAGGCTTCAAGATCTGGAGAGGGTCTGTTTAAGTATATGAGTAGAAAAGGCAGCCTAGCCCACCCAAAGCCTGGAGTGAGGGACACTGAACTCCCATGCCCCTATATTCTTTTTGTCCAACATGACCCCCACCAGGCCCTTGCTCTGCTGAGCTTACTTCCAAGGTTTTGCCTACCAGGTGGGTAATATACTGCCCTGAATGGCAACAGCTTGGTGAGGTCACACCACGGGAGATGCTAAGGGATTTGGGGCACCAGTGCCAAGAACCATTTGGTGGGAGGCATGGTGAAGGAGCAGGTGGAAATCCACCCTTGCAGAACACTAGGAATCCTATAAGCGATCCCTGCTCCCTCCTATTTCTCCTGATTCCTCCCATCCAAGAAAGTGGCCAAGACAAAAGACAGGAGTTGAAGTTTATTCTTGCAAAAAGCAAAGTCCCACCCTCCCCTGATAGTCCAAGAAGATTTTCCCAGGTGTCCCTGCCCCTCCAGATGGTTATCTCTCTCCTGAACCCAGCTTTCACTAACGCCCATTATGATGCTGCTACTTGGGTGAGGGGCTCCTCCAGGTACTGCACCAAGGCCTGGGCCTGTAAGAAGGGAAGGAGAAATCAGTCCCACACATGGCCTGCCACTAGAGGGATCCTAAATCCAGGTCTACTCTTTAATTATTTATTTATTTTTATTACATTTCAGAATACACTTGAAAGCTGAACAAATTTTCAAGGTATACTTGAAATTAAATGAAGGAGTGAGGTGACAGCTGTAGCTCAGAAGTCCATGCATTTGGACTTGACTTTATTTTTTTAATTTTATTTTTTTTGAGACAGAGTCTCGCTTTGTTGCCCAGGCTAGAGTGAGTGCCATGGCGTCAGCCTAGCTCACAGCAACCTCAAACTCCTGGGCTCGAGTGATCCTTCTGCCTCAGCTCCCAGGTAGCTGGGACTACAGGCATGCGCCCACCATGCCCGGCTAATTTTTTATATATATCAGTTGGCCAATTAATTTCTTTCTATTTATAGTAGAGACGGGGTCTCGCTCTTGCTCAGGCTGGTTTTGAACTCCTGACCTTGAGCAATCCGCCCGCCTCGGCCTCCCAAGAGCTAGGATTACAGGCGTGAGCCACAGCGCCCGGCCTGGACTTGACTTTAAATCGACACCGTGGACACATCTGGCCTCACACTGCAAGCAACACACTAAGTCCTAATGCACTTAAGAGCTTCAGGTCAGGTCTACTCTTTTTTTTTTTTTTTTTTTTTTTTTTTAATTTCTGGCTAGCCAGGTCCAAGCCCCAGAGCACCAACACAGTGGCCACTCTCGAGGCAAGGACCTCTTTTTTTTTTTTGAGACAGATTCACTTTGTTGCCCAGGCTAGAGTGAGTGCCGTGGCATCAGCCTAGCTCACAGCAACCTCAAACTCCTGGGCTCAAGCAATTCTGCTGCCTCAGCCTCCGGAGTAGCTGGGACTACAGGCATGTACCACCATGCCCAGCTAATTTTTTCTATATATATTACTTGGCCAATTAATTTCTTTGTATTTATAGTAGAGACGGGGTCTCGCTCTTACTCAGGCTGGTTTCGAACTCCTGACCCCGAGCAATCGCCCGCCTTGGCCTCCCAGAGTGCTAGGATTACAGGCGTGAGCCACCGCGCCCAGCCCGGGTCTACTCTTAATGCCATACTGAACAACCCAGTCCTAGCCCCACCTGCTCCTGGGAGTGACCTACACCAGACACAGGGACTGAATAGACATGAGGATCCAGACACGTGGTACGGGTGGGAGTGGACACAGTCATGGAACATGAAGGCTGGGCCAGGGTTGTGCAGGATGGGCACATACAACCTTGGCCTTGAGCATCGAAGCCCACGGTCTCCTTGGCATACATACACAGCAGAAGGTTGGCCACTCGGGTGATGGCTACACGACCCTCTGGTGGGGTGATATGATGGGATGTGATACTCTGCCTTGGTATCTTTAGCTCTGCCTGTCTCCAAGGGCCTCCTCTGGTCCCAGAGAGACTATATTTCCTTCTATGCCCTGGGCACAGCAGGAGGTTCAGCTGGAAAGCTTTGGTCACAACTCTGACACTGAGGTTCCTGAGCCCAGGTTTTAGCCTCAGCACAGCCATCTACTAATCAAGTTACTGTAGGAACTCAGTCCCCAGAAATTAGTTTTCTTTCATACTCCCCTATCTCAATCCAGTTAGTGAGGGTGCTAATACACATGAAGGGTTTTTATACCTGCCAAGAGTTGTCCAAATGGGTGATGTTATTATTATGGGATCAAGTCAAAGACACTGACAAAGGAATGGGAGCAGTAACCCAACTAATATTTCTCCTTCCTCTTTTCCCAATGGTAATGTTTTTGAAAACTATATGTATGACTCATGGTTAGGAGATAAATTATAGAACGGTTTGACAACATTAATAATAAGAAGAGAATTAAGTGCATTGCAATGAGTAAGGGAAGTACCATTTCATCGAATTTGTTTTAATGGATGATGTATGTACGGGCCAACTTAAATTGTATTTCTAAGCTGGACACAGTCGACATGTTGCCTGTTAGTCTTCTAACTACTTGGGAGGCTGATGGGTGGGTGATCAACTAAAGCCAGGAGTTCAAGGCAGCCGGAACACAGGATAGACTCCCATATCTACAAAAAAATACAAATGAAAACATATTTCTTATGCTGGCTTGGTCAAAAAAATGTTTGAAAGCTATGCACTATAACTAGATTCTAGGCTAGGCATCCAGTATTGTTCATCTGTTGATATCAAAAATGGCAATTGGCTTGGCAGGTTGTAGGGAAAGGTAGAGCAGTTGAATTACGGGACATTCTTTCCTGGGAGTCTCACCCTTAGTGCCTATTTGATTTGTTTGATAGACCTACTAGGTTATTCTCTACTGATATTGTAGGAACTGTGCACTGTACCTTGCTCCCAGGCTCACCTTCTACATACACCCCCACTTCTCAACGTAATCAGCCATACTAACCTTCTTGTGATTGGTAATCAGGGAAATCATCTGCCACAGGCCTTTGCACTGTTGTCTGTCAGAAATGTTCTGCTCTCAGATAGCCACAATGGTTTGCCCGATCTTGATCAAATGTCACCATGTTCAGTGAGACTGTGTCTGACAGATGACCCCACATGCTCACTGTCCCTACTTTATTTTTCTCATTACATCTTCATTTTTTATTTTTTTTTCATCCTAGTTGTCTAGATTAATTCAAACTAATGTACTATATATTGTTACTTATTTTAAGACATTAAGACTGAAGCTTCATTAAGGCTGGAGGTTTTGCCTGTCCTGTTTGCACTTTCCCCTAGTCCTGAGAATATTGCAGGAGCCTAAAACTTGTTGACTGAACAGATGTTAAAGGTGAGTGAGACAGTCCCTGTTCTAAAAGTTCACGGTCACTTTCTCTTTTGGACTTCATTTCCTTTCTTTGTAAACTGAAGGGTTGGGGACAGAGTCTGCAGACTGCCACATGGTTCTGTGAATCAGTGAACTGGGATGACAACACTCTGTGCACTGATTCTACAGTTTTAATGCACCCTGTGAGGGGACAGTGGAATTATTTACTGTTCCGTCGCTTAGAGATGAGTGTAAGGAACTCAAAGAGATAAGTGTATTCCCAAGGTTCCACAACATGATAAGTGATAGCTGACCCCAGAACCCAATGTCAGACCGCAGGTAGGATCTTCCACCACCAACTTGATGGCATTGGTCCTGCCTATACAAATGCTGCAGAGCAGCAACTTTAAATACTTCTGGATCCTGCCCTGCCCTCCAGCATACAGGATAGGGGTCCAGGCGCCCTTTGGGTCCCTTGGACAGGAAAAGCTAGTCCCTTCTCCATACCATCGTCAGCCATTGAGAATGAATTTGAGATCTGTCTCATCTTAAACGCTTGGTTCCGTTCCTGTCGTATGCAGCCCAGGATGTTACTGGCGATGGCCGCGTACCGGCTCCGTGTCCCCATACAACGAGTAGCAGTAGCGATCCCTCGTTATTCAGCAGCCTGGCGAGGGAGGGGAGTATACATCAGTGTTTTCAGTAAAAGAATCGGGGAGTAAAAGGGCTGGTTCCCGATGCCAAGTCCTCCCACTGGCCACTTCCAGGAAGCAAGAGTCTAGGCGAGTGTCGTCCTGAATCTGCCCCGAGCACCAGCAGCGCTTGCTCCTTTTCTCTTTGCGAGAGGGACCTCGCTGGCCGGTTCACCCAGCTGCTGGCCCCTCTGCGCCTCCTGCCCTTCCGGCGATCTTCCGACTCTCCCTCAGAAAGCCGTCGCACCGCCCACTGCAGCGCTCGCCGCTCAGGCTCGTCAGCACCAGCTCACAGGGTTGCTCTGGACGCCTCCGTGTTGGCCTTGCTAGCACCTGGGTCAAAGGCTTGGACGCAGCATGCCTGTGGCTCCTAACCTGGCCTTTACACCAAAGATCCTCCCAAGTTGGCCCTTGCGGGCCGCTCAGTGCTTCCGTAGTCACTGCCCGCCTCCCGAAAGCCTCCTGGGAGTTGTATTCTGGCCGCTATTGTGGTTCTGACTCACCCCGCCCCTACTCCGAGGTCTATGGAATGTAGTTCCTGGTGGCTCGGAGGCACCTGGAACTATATTTTGCCTTTTCCAGTCGCCACGCGGTTATGGGAAAAAGCGGACGTGAAAGGACAGCGCAGCAGTGTGAAGACATTTACCTCAGTGGAAGGAATCTCATGTCCGCTTGGCAGTCCACGATCATATAAAATAGCATTCTCGATTTGTCACACCTTGGTATTTCAAACGTACTTTATGCTCATTTTCGAATGGCGAGAGGTGGCGATATCCTGAGGAAACCAAAGTCAGAAAGGGCTACGCAGGCAGAACCGCAGTCTCTGAACGACTATAATATGACATTCAGGCCCGACCCTTGTAGGAGCGGTCAATCTAGAAATGAGATTAAGGAATAACGGCCGGGTGGAAAATTCCGAGCTCCAAGTCGGGAGAGGCCCCAGGCCTGGAAGGATTGGGCCCTCCTTAAGAAAGAGCAAGTTATCACAGGGAACGGAGATAAACCAGCGACACAGAAAGTCCCTTTTGTCCCGGAAGCCGGGGAGTTTACCCGTGAGGGGCGGAGGCTTGGGCTTGGAGGGAACAGCGCGGGCTCGGCGGTTAGGAATGGGCCGGGTCTTCTCCTGGGACTGCCCCCCGACCTTGTCGTAAGGACACCCTTCCTGCCCAAGTCCCCTAGCGAGGCTAGCGGCGAGCCCGTCCAGGCTTCCGACCCGGAGGCTCGCCTGGCGGACCCCGCGAAAATGCCCCCCAGTCCGCCGGGCGCTGTGGCTGCGTCTGGTCCGGAGGGGGCGACGAAGCCTTGGGAGGGGAGGAGAGGGGAGAGAGGGGGAGTGTTGGAGCGCCGAGGAGCTGGCGGCGGGCGGGCGGGGAGGAGAGGAGCCGGCGGCTGCGGCGGCCGGGTGGCGGCGGCGCATGGCGGAGCCGAGCGGGGCGAAACGAGCCCCCCATTCGGTCACCGTCAAGACCCGAAGGACAAGGAGGAAATTGTGATCTGCGACCGAGCCTCGGTCAAAGAGGTAGTACTGCTGGCTGGGGAC